TTTGTGATTCAGGGGCTGGAGCGATAGCACAGCGGATAGGGCGTTTGCCTTGCACATAGCCGACCCGGGTTCGATTTTTGGTCGAACAAGAAAAGCAGCATCCCATATGGTCCCCTGAGCTACAGCCAGGAGTAATTCCTGAGTGCAGAGCCAGGAGTAACCCCTGTACATTGCCGGGTATGACCCAAAAAGGAAAAAAAAAAGTTTGTGATTGACAAAAGGGCAGAATACCAATTCAGAACATTTGTAAAGAAAAATAGAGACTATTATAAATAATTTTATACGCTGAAAGTTTTCTGATAAAAAAACATAACTTGATAAAACTGATGCCAGAACAGAAAAGAAATACAAGAGGCTTACCTAGAATTGTCAGCATTGGGGACAGGGGCCCAGAAGTTAGAACCCCCCTGTCCTTATAAGTTCTGCCCATCGTCTACAAAATCGTCTACCTAGTGGAAAAAGAAGAGTGAACTTCAACTCCTTTTAGGGCAAAAATTGAAGCCAGCTGAGAGTCCCTGTGGGTCATTTGGGGACGTGGGGAAGAGGAACCCTCAAAATCTCACAAGCTTTTTAAGAAAAAGGAATGAAGACTGGAGGCAGGGGGAAGAGCAGAGCGCCGTGCCTGCACCCGGGTCTTTAGAATCTGCACCATGCAACGGTCACAGCATCTCTCGAGGGATGCCTTCTTCAACTGTAGACAGTATCTGTCATTTCTGTAGGAGGTATCGTTTGTGCAAACAGATTATCTTGATTTCTCTTTCGTGATTTCTAGGTTTCGTGACTTTCCATGGGGCTTTAATCTTAAGAGGATTTTTGTGAACAAGAGACCCGAGCTGTAGTCCAACCTGGGATTGCACACAGCCAACCTGGGATTGAATCCTGGCATCCTATATGGTCCCCTGAGCACCTCTAGGAGTTAATTCCTGAATTCAGAGCCAGGAGTAAGTCTTGAGCATAGTTGGATATGGCCCAAAAAAGTGTCCCACCTAAAAGAGGGCCGGGGAGGAGAGAGAGAGAGAGAGAGAATATTTTAGAAACTTAGAAACAAGCAAAACAACACCTTGGGTTCTTGGTGAGAGCCCAGTGGTTGACCTACCGTAAATCCCCAAGTTCAATTCCTGGTGCTGCCACATTGTCAGAGCAAGTGCTCAGCTGTCAGAGATCCTGTTGTCACAAGTGGTTCCTGGCCACACCACACACAGGGAGGGTGTGAGCCCCAGGAACACGTAGCAATTCCCCCATCCCCACCTAAGTGGAGTGTGACCCCCCACAGTGAGCACCACACCTAAACGTGCGAAGACCACAACCAAGCACGTGTGTCCTCTGGCCATTGCAAGAACAAGGATGGGAAGGGGGGTCAATCAAACCATATCGATTAGTAAAAGAATGAAATTAGGGGCCTTGGGGAAGCAGTACAGTGGGTAGGGTAATTTCCCTGAAAGAGGCCAAACGACATTTGATCCCTGGTACCACATATGATCCCCTGAGCCCCACCAGGAGTGATCTCTGTATCAGATCCAGAAGTAAGCTCTAAGCACTGCCAGATGTGGTCCCCAAATCAAACAAACAAATACACTAAAATAAAAAGCCACGAAGTTTGACTCCTTTGCATATACAAAAATAAATTCCAAAGTGGATTCCAGACTTAAAAAGTGAAAATATAAAACCCTTAAAAGAAAATAGATGCATTTCAAAATTTTGGTTTAGGGAAAGGATTGCTATTAAAAGTTTAAAAAGTTCAGCAACAAAAGAAAAATTAGATAATTTTCACTTTATCAAAATAAAAGACTTTTTTCTTTTCTTTCTTTCTTTCTTTTTTTTTTTTTTTTTTGCCTTTTGGGTCACACCAGCAATGCTCAGGGTTACTCCTGGCTCTGCACTCAAGAATTGCTACTGGTGGTCCTCAGGGGACCATATGGGGTGCTGGGAATCGAACCCGGTTGGCCATGTGCAAGGCAAACGCCCTACCCACTGTACTATTGCTCCAGCTCCAAAATAAAAGACTTTTGTGATGCAAACAGTACCATGAAGAAAGTGCAAGACAGTCCACAGAATTGGAGAAAAGAATAGCAAACATGTATGAGTCTAGAATAGAAAATAACTACTAAAACCCAACAATATATAGGATCCACTAAAAATGAGCATAAGACTTGAAAAGATATTCCTCCAAAGAAATATACAAATGATCAAAAAGAAACCTAAAAAAAAAAAGTAACCTAAAAGATGTTCAACTTAAGTAGCTACTGGGTGAGTCCAAATCAAAACCACAGTAAAGGTAAAGGCCCTCCCGTTGATCGTCGGTTTGCTCGAGCGGGCCCAGTACCGTCTCCATTGGAGACTTTGTTGTTACTGTGTTTGGCATATCGAATGCGTCACGGGGAGCTTGCCAGGCTCTGCCCTGCGAGCGAGATACTCTCGGTAGCTTGACGGGCTCTCCGAGAGGGGCGGAGGAATCGAACTCGGGTCGCCCATGTTGGCCGCTTGTAAGGCGAACGCCCTACCGCTGTGCTATCGCTCCAGCCAAAACCACAGTGAGATCCCATTTTACAGATTCAAGAATCCAAAGGTCAGAGGGGTTAAAAACAATGTGGAGAAGAGGCTGGTGAGATAGTAGAGCCCGTAGGGCACTTGCCTTGCATGCAGCAGACCCAGGTTCGACCTCCAGCACCTGACATGGTCCCCGGTGTCCTCCAGGAGCGATCCTTGAGCACAGAGCCAGGAGTAAGCCCTGAGCACCAGGAGTGATCCCTGTATCAGATCCACCGGTTTTGGACCCAAAACAAAAGATAAAATTTATGTGGAGAGACTGGAACCTTCATACGCTCCTTGAAGGAATGTATAATGTATTGTTTTCTTAGAAAACAATCTCTAAGAAACTAAACCTAGTGTTACCACACAAGTCAGCAATTTCATTTCTTGGTATATGGCACAGAGAAATGAAAATCTTTGTCCATACAAAAACATAGACATGAATTCTCAAGCTCCATTATTATTTTTTTTTTCCTGTTTGGGTCACACCTGCCAATGCACAGGGGTTACTCCTGGCTCTGCACTCAGGAATTACTCCTGGCAGTGCTCAGGGGACCATATGGGATGCTGGGAATCGAACCTGGGTTGGCAGCGTACAAGGTAAACGCCCTACCCACTGTGCTATCACTCCAGCCCCAAGCTCCATTATTTTCAAACAGCCAAAACATATAAACAACCCAAATAACCATCTCTTGGTGAAAGAAAATCAAAATGTGGGCAAGTGACTATCGTTAGCCACAAAAAAAATCCAGTTCTGTCCATGCTACAAATTGAATGGACCTTGAAATATTGTGCTACCTTAAAGAATCCAGAGCCAAAAGCTCATGTCTTGTATAAGTCTATTAATATGAAATAGTAAAAATAGAAAAAACTATCAAGACAGAAAGCAGATTAAAGTTTGATAGAAATTAACAACAGCTAATAGGTACAGGGTTTCTTCTTGGAAGGAATGACTGTGTTGAACTTAACTGTGCTTGTATGAATCTATGAATACAATAAGAAATCATTGACAAATATACTTTAAATGCATGTGCTCTACGCTCTGTCATATAACTGTTTGTGGGGAGGTGGATGAGGGGATGTTTAGGTCACAGCCGGTGATACTCAGGGCTTACTCCTGGCTCTGAGGTCAGGGATCACTCCTGACAGAACTCAAGGAGTGCCGGGAATTGAACCCAGGTCGGCCATGCACAAGGCAAAGCGCCCGACCCACTGTCCTCTCCCTCTACCCCCTGTAAACTAGATCTTAATAAAGTTCTTACTAACAAATCACAAATGCTATCTAGCAATTGAATCAATTGTGCTCTTGTTAAAAATGTGTTTTGTGGGTCCAAAGTCAAAGCACGGTACAGTAAAGCACTTACCTTGCACGTGGTCACCCAGGTTTGATCTCTGGCATCCTACATCCTACCCCTGAGTCTGCCAGGAGTGATCCCTGAGCACAGAGCCAGGAGTAAGCCCTGAGCACCACTGGGTAGGACCCCAGAATGAAAAAATAAAAGTCAAAAAATACATCTCCCTGGGGAAGAACTTCAACAGGTCCCTCTGGAGTGTTAGTGTCAGGGGAGGAGAAAGCTAGCCTCTGAAACAGTGGTCACCACGCCATGCCCCAGTAGCTCTTGGACACCAGCCTAGAAAGTCCCTGGAAATGTGCTAAGCGCATGTTCTTAGAAATCTCAGTGTCCTTCCTTCGAGACGAACTTTCACAGATGAGGAACCCAATGTCGAAGGGGTTAGAAAGATGCCTGTCGCAAGACACACACGGTGTCCCCACCAAGTCCAGACCAGAACCTGTCCCCTGACCTCATTCTGCAGTGACAGCACCCCTCAAACTGGTCAGGGGGTCGGCTGCAGCCCCTGGCAGACCGGAGCAAGCAGGGGTCGGGAATCTGCCCTTTCTGGCAGGGAGAGGCACTCTGGTGGAGGGAAACTGTGTTGACTTCTGAGAAGCAGTTTTACCCCCATTCCTGGAAGCGAGGGGGACATTGGTGGGCACACAAACTCAAGGGACAAGACAGCCCTGGTGTCACACGTGGTCTGGGGCCTGCGGCCACTGGTTCCCACTGAACTCACAAGAACAGTTCCCACCTCACCCACCTCACCAGTGTGATTTTTGCCCCCCCAAATTGCCCCATGAGTCATTCAAACCATGGAAATTTGGCCCACCCTAATCTACGATAACACAAAAGATGAATGCCCTGGGTCCCCCCAGCTCTCTCCCCAACGGGGTCCTACAGCACCCCACCCACCAGGTCACAAACCCGGCCTGGGCAGGGTGCTGGGAGCCAGCACCTTCTGCTAACAAGTTCTCTTTGAAAGAGGGGGGAGCAGAGGACCCCGCCTAGGATATGTGTCTGGGGCTCAGAACCTGGGCTGGGCTGTGCTGGTGTGGGCAGGAAGTGGGCAAGGAGGTTTGAACAATGTGAGTATTTCTCCTCGCTGCTCAGGGAGGGGGGAATGGTCACGTCGAAATGGCCCCCGAACTACAAATTCAGATCCAGCAACTCATCACAGCCGTTGGCGTCCACACTGAAAATGAAGACGCACTTCAACATAGAAACTGAGGCACAGAGAGGCCAAAGAAGCTTATTGTGGCACCAAGCCGGTCCCCCCCTGAACTTGGCTCTGCCCCTAAGGCCCTGTCGGGCAATGAGTCCGAACAGGAAGACCGCCCCCTGCTGGCAGGATCGGGCCTTGGGCCCCCGCCCGCCTGGGCCTTACCTGTTGGGTCCCCCAGCCCCCAGGGTGCTGTGCTTGAGGGTTGTCACTGGCATTCACCGCCTGCCTCCTGAGGGCTGTCAGCAGCACCGGATGAGGGGTTGGGGACTGGGTGGGTGCCAGTGGGAGGGCAGAGAGTGAAGGCGACCTGCTACCACAGCTGGGGGGCGGGGGGCGGGACAGGAAGCAGAAGCGTGATAAACCGTGGCCCCACGCTGTGTGGTGAGCCTGTCTGGAGGCCAACACCTCCATCTCGGACGCCGCCCGGGGGGCCAGGATGGCGGTGTAGGAGCAGCGCAGCTCCAGACCCAGGTAGGGAGGCGCTGGGCCCCGGGTGCGAGAGGGCACAGAGCAGCTGCTCCTCTTAGGGAAGAGTCTCGGGGGCAGGAAGTGGAACAGAGACAAACACGCTCACGTCTAACTCACAGCGCGGCCTCTTCCTCATACACAAAGCCAAGAGGTGGACACTCCAGGCTCCAGCGCCTGCAGACGCGGGCAGTGAGGGCTCCTGGGGGCGTGAGAGGGCGAGAGGGCCAGGATGGACCTCGCTGACCTCCGGGGAGAGAGACAGCTGACCACTTCCAAGGGACTCCTTTCCCCCTTCTCCCCGTCTGGGATTCCTGCTCTGGGAGACGCACAGGAATCACCCCCACTTCTCAGAGACCCAGCAGGGCAGGAGGTGAGAGGCCTCCAGGGAGCTCAGTGTGGACAGAGGGGACCCCGGTGGTCAGTAACTCGGAGGACACCCGGGAACACCTGAAGGAGAAACAAACCGCTGGCAAACGCTGGGCACAGAAGTGACGGAGATGGCAAGAGATAGTACAGGGTTACGACACTGGCCGTGGTGAGACCAAATCCCTCCACAAAAAGTCCAATAGTTGGTCATAGCAATAGCACAGCGGGTAGGGCTTTTCCCTTGCACAGGCTAGCCCTGGGAAATCCCCGGCACCCCACACAGTCCCCAAAGTCCACCAGGAGTAAGCCAGGAGTAAGTTGGGTGTGCCCTTCCCCCCAAAATTTCAGTAGTCAGTAGCTCACACACACTGCCCGGACTTCACAAAGCAGAGATTTTGGGGGGCAGGGGGGATGCTCTTGTTGAGGAGGTTGAAGTTTGAGGCCTGGTGGGGGGACATCCCAGCTCTGTTCTGGGTGCGGGGAATCCGCCCCCTGCCCAGCAGTGCTCGGGAGGATAGGGCCCAGGGGGTTGAGCCGGAGCCGTCACCCCTGTACTCTCTCCAGGCCCCAAGAGCAGCTTTATTCTCGGATTCAGCCTGGGGTGCTTCCAGGAGGCTCAGAGAGAGGGCTCCCCGGAGAAATCGAGGCAGCACGCGGCATCCTTTGCTTCCCCAGTTCCCGGAAAGGCAAAGCAGGGTCCGGGGCGCAGGACCCCTGCTGGGGCCCAACCTCCCCCCTCCCAAGCACCTGTCTCTCAAAATCCATCTTTTCCTGGAGCCCCCAGGCCCTTCCCAAATCTCATCCTCCCCCTACGACCCCCAGGGCGACGCCCAGCAGCGGCCGCCGTGGATTGGAGACCCATCCGGGGAAGGGCAGCCTCCCCTGCGCTGCGTGTCCCTGGGCACTTGGCTGCCCCTTCCCGTGCCCACCCGCACCACTCCGGGCCCCTCCGGCCCTGGCCGTCCGCGACCCAGGTCCCCCTCCCTCCCGCAGCTGGCGTCCACGGGGAGACGCAGGAGCCGCCGCCGTCCCCGCTCTGCCCACGGACGTCGGACGCCCTCGAGGGCCCCGGCCCCCCGCGCGGGCAGCCCCATGGCCCGGGGCGCGCCGCTCCCGGGGGTCCTGCTGCTGCTGCTGCTGCTGCTGCCCGCGCCCGCGCCCGCGCCCTGCTTCACGGCCACGCGCTCCGAGTGCCGGCGCCACGAGGCCTTCGTGCCCGGCGCGTGGCTGGCCGGCGAGGGCGTGGACGTGACGAGCCTGAAGCGCTCGGGCTCCTTCCCCGTGGACACGCAGCGCTACCTGCGGCCCGACGGCACCTGCACCCTGTGCCGCAACGCGCTGCAGGGGGGCGCGATGCAGCGCCTGCCCCTGGCGCTCACCGACTGGCGCGCGGGGCGCGGGGGCTGCCAGCGCCAGGTGGGCCAGGCCGCGCTGCGCTCCACGGAGGACGTGGCCCGGGACTCGGCCAGCAGCATCACCAACGACTGGAAGGCCGGGCTGGAGGTGGTCCTGCCGCAGCCCCCCGGCGTCAGAGCGCGCGTCAGCACGGCCGGGTCGCACTCGGAGGCCGCGAACTTCGCCGCCTCCAAGAACCACCAGGACCAGTACCGGTTCAGCCGCGACCAGGCGCAGTGTCGCGTGTACAGGTCAGTCCGGCCAGCAGGGAGCCGGGGAGGGGCCGGGGGTGCCCGCGCCCTGGGAGGCGACGGAGCCGGAGGAGGCCCAGCCCCGGCCTGGCGCGCCAGGGCGGTGTCCCGTGTCCCCCTCCGCTGCGGTCCGGCCGCAGAGCACCCCAAGGGGCGAGCCAGGTGGAAGCGGGCAGCAGCCCCATTGGGTCCCCACAACACCCTCTCCCGGGGCACCCACGCCTCCCGTTTGCCCCTCCTGGAGAGGCCCCAGGCCTCCATGTACCTACCCCCCACCCCACCCACTCCTGGACCCCTTACACCAAGAAATGCGCGGTTTCCACGAACGAAGCCCACGTGCCATCTCCTGCAGGGGAGGCTGCCCCACGCCCAGTGACCCTGGGCACCTCCTGCGGGGAGCCAGCAAGGAGGGGACCCAATCCCGGAGAGCAGCTGGCAGCCTCAGGGCCAGGCCTCCTCCCTGAAGCATCAGTAATTTGCACATCCTGTTCTTTGGGGGTTTGGTGGGAGTTGGGGGTGTCGTTGTTATCTTTGGGTTTGTTTGTTTTTGGTCACAGCCAGTGGTGGCCAGGGCTTAGTCCTGACTCAGCACTCACGGGTCACTCCTGGCCAGGCTCAGGGAACCATTTGTGGTGCCAGGGATCAAAGCAGGGTCAGCCCCACGCAAGGCAAGTGCCCTTCCCGCTGGAGCCTCTCCAGCCCCGACACTTTTAATAATTAGAAAATAAAATGGAGGGGGCCGGAGCAATAGCACGGCGGGTAGGGTGTTTGCCTTGCACGAGGCCGACCCGGGTTCGATTCCCAGCATCCCATGTGGTCCCCTGAGCACCGCCAGGGCTGACTCCTGAGTGCAGAACCAGGAGTAACCCCTGTGCATCGCCGGGTGTGACCCAAGAAGAAAAAAAGAAAGAAAGAAAAGAAGACGGAAGGGCTGGAGTGATAGAATAGCAGGCAGGGCTTGTAGCCAAACCAGTTTCGATTCCCGGCACTCCAGGTGGTCCTCTGAGCACTGCCAGGAGTGACCCCTAAGTGCATCATTGGGTGTGCCCCCACCAGAAAAAAAAAAGAAAAAGAAAAGAGGGACTGGAGAGACGTGCAGGAGGCGCAGAGCCTGCCCTGCCTGGGACCTTACTGGCTATGGCCCGGGTTTGAATCCCCAGCATCACATATGGTCGCCTGAGCACGGCCAGGGGTCACTCCAGAGCCAGGAAGAGCCCCTGAGCACTGCCGGGTGTGGCCCAAACACCCCCAAGATTAATTAAATAATCTTGAAGGCAATAATAAGTGAAAAAAAAAGGAAGAAACCCATTAGAAAAGGAAAAGGGACATGAATGATCTCTACAAAGCACCAAGGGGCCCCAGACCCGCCTTCGGAGCCAGGCCACCTGGGTCCTCTCGCTGCCATTCACTCTCCAGCAGTGACCCAGTACCATTTCCAGCCCCCCAGCCCCCCTCTGATAAGCTCAGAGTCTGGCCAGCATTCAGTCCTGCCCGCTGCGAGGGAGGGAGGGAGGGAGGGAGGGAGCGCCCCTCTGCGGACTCACCCGATGACTCTGTCCCCCCAGCTCTCGCCTGGTGCAGAACCCGCCCCTGCACCAGGACTTCAAGAAGGCTCTCCGGGCGCTGCCCCCCTACTTCAACGCCTCCAGCAAGCCCGACTACGTGCGTTTCATCTCCACCTTTGGCACCCACTTCATCAAGTCCATGGAACTGGGCGGCCGGACCTTGGCCCTCACAGCCATGCGCACCTGTGAAGTGACCCTGAACGGGCTCACGGCAGACGAGGTGGCGGACTGCCTGGAGGTGGAGGCCGAGGTAAGCGTCGGCATGGCCGTCAGTGCCACATCGGAGTTCAAGACCTGCGAGGAGAAGAAGAAGCAGCACAAGATGGGGGCCTCCTTCCACCAGACCTACAGGGAGCGATACACGGAGGTGGTGGGCGGCAACTTCAGCACCTGGAATGACCTGCTGTTCGGGAAGGAGGCGAGCGCCGAGCACTTTGCGGCCTGGGTGGCCTCGCTGAAGCACAGCCCCGGCCTGCTGGACTTCACCCTGGAGCCGCTGCACTTGCTTCTGAAGCACCACGACCCGAGGCGGGGGGCGCTGAGAGCAGCCGTGAGCAAGTACATCACAAGCAAGGCGCGCTGGAGGGACTGCAGCCGGCCCTGCCCGCCGGGGCAGCACAAGAGCCCGCAGGACGAGTGCCAGTGCTTGTGCCAGGCCTCCACGGCCACCAGCCAGGACTGCTGTCCCCGGGAGCGGGGCCTGGCCCATCTGGTGGTCATGCAGTTCCGGGCCCAGGGCCTGTATGGGGACTGGATCACCGCCACCGACGCCTACCTGAAGGTCTTCTTCGGGGGCCAAGAGAAGAGGACAGAAACCGTGTGGAACAACAACAACCCCCGCTGGACCATCAAGATGGACTTCGGAGACGTGGTGTTGGCCGCGGCAGGGATCCTGAAGGTCGAGGTGTGGGATGCCGACTCGGGCATAGACGACGACCGCCTGGGCAGCTGTCATTATCCTGCTGCATCGGGCTTCCACCGGGAGAACTGCCAACTGTCCCATGGCCAGCTGCAGTTTTCCTACGAGGCCAAGTGTGCGTCCCACCTGTCGGGGAAGACGTGCATGGATTACGTCCCGCACGGGCTTCCGGGGGAGCCTCCGGGAAACCGGAGTGGGGCGGTATGGTGAGAGCCGTAACCTGTGAGCCCAGCCAGAGACGCCTCAGAGACTGTCCGGGCCTCCCCCAAGCCCTGCAAAGCTGCCTTTCCTTTTTTTCTCCCAATGACTTCACGAACCAGCTGAGACTCCCTCACTGACCACCTGAGCTCCTGCAGAGGTCAGGCCCTGGCCCTATCCAAGCCGGGCCCTGGCCATGCCCAGCTGTCCTGGAAAAACCTTCCTCCTGGGGCCGGAGCAACAGTACAGCGGGGAGGCCACTTGCCTTGCACGCAGCCAACACGGGTTTGATCCCTGGCATCCCATATGGTCCCCCGATTTCTGCCAGGAGTCATCCCTGAGCGCCACCAGGTATTAAGAACATCAAACACACACACACACACACACACACACACACACACACACACACACGCCTTCCTCCTCTGTGCCTCCTAGCTTGGAAGACTCTTCTTTCCGCTCACAGCTCCAGCCCCCTCTGCTGCAGCCACTGCGTTGGCCCTGCCTTTTATACCGACCATGAGGCAAGGTTTTGGCCTAGGTGCACACAACAGGGCAAGGGGACCCACATAAGATGACGCAGGTGGTGGCAGCGGCGGTGGGTGATGGACCAAACACAGCCCCTGGGATAAATTTCTATAAAAGAGCCAAGACAGAAGGCCGTGAGGCTCCCCCTGCCCCGGGCATACAGATACTGTCAATAAACTGTGCTTTGTGTCGTTTTTTGTTTGGTTGTTTGATTTTTTTTTCTTTTATTGGAAAAGTGGAGACCTAAAATATTTCCCTTCTCCTCCTCACTCTTGGATTTAAGAAACAGCAGCGCAAGCTCCATGAAGAGCAGCCGCCACGGCCCTGCAGGTCCTGTTTGGGTGATGTGGGGCGGGTGGGGCCTGGGTGAAGGGAGGGAGCACTTGTCCCCCCTGGCGGGGCCTGGTTGCCGATGACAGCCTCATGCAGGAGCATGAACCCAGGGCGTCCAGGGCTTCTCACTCCTGAACGTGACCAGGAGTTCTAATCGGCCCGTGGCTGTCAGCCAGTCTTTCCCTTGGTGAAAACCACCCACCGGAGGCGAACTCGTACCAACTAGAGGACATGTGCATGGGTCGCCAGGCGTTCGGATCGATCTGTTTCTCTCCCGCCCCACCCACAACCGACAGAAGAAGCAGAGGCCCCAGTGAGGGAGTTTCTGGGCTCCTGGCCTTGGCACGCGTCCGCCCCGCTCCTCGGCCCCTGCTGTGGGATGAAACGGCCTTTGCTCCACAGCCAAGGGCACAGGCCGTCTCCAGCACAGGCCCGGGCAGTCTCTGAGGTGCAGGGCTGTGGCAGTGTGCATTCGCCTCTGGAGGGGGTCCCACCAGTTTGAAGCGCCCACACATAAGGCCTTCGAGGTCCGGGAGCTCCCCCGGTCAGTAGCCCAGCCTCTGCAGAGCGCTGACCCTGAATGCCCGCGTGGGCACTGAGGCCCGGCACACCCTAAAGGCCGAGTTGAAACCACATTTCTTACAAGTGTCCCCTCCCCGCCCCGCATGCAAACAAGCACCGAGAAGCCTTGGAACTTCCCACGGGGCAGCTGGGCTTCCCAAGCACAAACATGGGTGTGGGCCGGCGCCTTGGGGAGGGACAAGCGGGCAGGGCCTGGCTGGCTCCGGGATGATGGCCCTGAGCAGACGGGTGTCAAACGGACAGCACCCTAAGCCTTGGTTTCCCCCACAGGGCCATCTTTGCCTGACCCCTTCTCAGGGCTGTCTGGTGGGGCACCGTGAGCCTCTGGAGACAGACTCTGGAGAGGCCTCTGGAAACCCAGCTGGAAACAGAGGGGGAACAAGGCGGGAGGAAGACCAAGCAGAGGCCCACCATAACGGGGTGAGACCTCCGCGCCTGAGGAAGGCTTTGAGAGGCAGAACGGAGGGCTTCTGGGGGGAAGCGGAAGGAGGGGCCGGCTGGCGCCGAGTCCTCACCCCAAGTCAACAGGACACTTTGGCGTCTGGAGCGATAACACAGCGGGGAGGGCGTTTGCCTTGCACCCGGCCGACCCGGGTTCGATTCCCAGCATCCCATATGGTTCCCTGAGCACCGCCAGGAGGAATTCCTGAGTGCAGAGCCAGGAGTAACCCCTGTGCATCGCCAGTGTTACCACCCCTCCCCAAAAAAGGACACTTTGGTTTACATCCTACATGAACGTGAGGCTCCTGGACCCCACTCCCCCGCCCCGAGAGCTTCGGCTGCCCCCACACAGGAGCCTGTCGGCCGGGCGGGGGGGGGGGAGAAGGGCAGAACAGCGAGCCAGGCCTTCCTGCCCTCAGTGTCCCTTGGTTGTGACCTGGGGATGCCCAGACCCCACTTCCCCCAGAGGCCTGTGCCGTGGCTCTGTCTGCCCATGTCCTCCCCTCCCTGCATAGGACCCACTGCTGTCCCTCGTCCTGAGACTCTGAGGCACTCGTGCCCCTCCAGGTTCCTCCGGCCGCTCCTCTGAGCCGGCTCTGACGACTGCCATCGGCAAGGGGGCTTCTGCTACTGAGCCCTCTCCACCCTCACCTTGTAGCACTGTAGCACTGTCCTCCCGTTGTTCATCCATTTGCTCGAGCGGGCACCAGTAACGTCTCCATTGTGAGACTTGTTGTTACTGTGTTTGGCAGATCGAATACGTCATGGGGAGCTTGCCAGGCTTTGCCGTGCGGGCGGGATATTCTGGGTAGCTTGCCGGGTTCTCCGAGACGGGCGGAGGAATAACACCCTACCTGCTGTGCTATCGCTCCAGCCCCATGGACGTGAAAACTGGAACTCAGGGGAGGCCTTAAGAAGCAAGGCCATAAAGAGGGCCAGTGTCCTTCCGAGGCAGGACGCAGCCTGAGGGCACCGCCTGGGAAAAATCTAGCACCTCAGCCACACACTCCCACACTCCAGCCTCCGGGACTGTGAGAAGGTGATTTGCCCTGTCGTTTATCAGCCCTGGTCTGGGGCATTTTCTCAGGCATCGCGAATGGACCCAGGGCCCCCCTTGAGGAGGCGGAGGGCACCACCCCGCTCTGCCACCCATGGGCATAAAATAAAACCACCTGCCCGGTTCTGATGCCCCCATGTCCCCTATAACTAGGAAGCAGCGAGGCTGGGTCTGCCCCTCGGGTGCCCCCGCCCCAGGCTCAGGGGCCCTTCAGAAGCTGAGGCCGAGAGCAGGATTGGAGTTTAGGGACTTTGTGCAGACGGGGTGGTGTGGACAGAAGGTGCCACAAGAGGTGCTAATCAGGCACCCCACCCCCACCCGTCCCAGGCTCTGTAGTTGGTGCTCGGCACAGACCTGAGCCATCCCAGCTGCAGACCGGTCCGGCCCCGCCCATCAGTGCTATGTGGGCGTGAATTCGTTTTTTTTTTTCTTTTTGGGTCACACCGGGGATGCTCAGGGGTTGCCTTTGGCTCATGTACTCGGGAATTACTCCTGGTGGTGCTCAAGGGACCCTGTGGAATGCTGGGAATCAAACCCGGGTTGGCCGCGTGCAAGGCAGATGCCCTACCCACTGTGCGATCGCTCCAGCCCTGTGGACGTGAATTCTTGCCCCACTGATTTCATCCAGACTCGCACCCACTGCCAGCAGCTACAGCCCCAATTGGTGACACTGTCTCATCTGCCTGACAGCTTCCACTGTGCTCCCCTGGCCTGTCCGGCTGCCCACCACCCCACAACCTGCCCTGTCCTTGGAACCAGCTCTCGGCTCTCCCTCCTCCGTCCCCTGCAAGGTCCAGGGCACAGAAGGGTGGGACCCTTCACCGCACGACAGCTGGTTCCTGGGCACCTCCCAAGAGCCAAGTCCCCGGCCAGAGCCCAGCAGAGCCCCTGCTTCTGATGTGGGGACAGAGGGGGACGCAGTGGAAAAGACAGGCGTGGGTGACAGTCAGCCCAGGGGATTCAGCTGGACCCACTCACCCTCACTGTCTCTCTTGGCCTGGGGGGCCGCCTCCAAGATCGGGCCCAGGGGTGGCAACAGTCCAGGTTTGGAGGAACAAGGCGGGGCCCTGAGCTCAGCTCCCAGCCTCCCGTCAGCCACAGTAGTTCCAGGAGCCAGACAGCACAAGCCCCCTCAGCTGTCCCCCTTCCCGGCTCAACTCCCTGCACCTCTGCAGGAAGTTTCTGGAATCATCCCCCAAGTAAATGATCTACTCACAAATCCCCACCTCAAGGCACACCTCAGGGGAAGTCACACATACACACACAAACACACACACACACACACACACGCAGAGCTAAGCAGAGGGTCAGGAGGGCAGATCAAGGAAGTGACAGCCACACTCGGTGCACACCTGCCAGAGACCCCTCTCACTGCCCCCTCGCTAGCACATGACAGTCCCACAATGCACCTCGCCAACCCGGGGTCCCTGCTTGTAAAGCAGGAGGTGCCAACCGTGACTTCTGCCCCGACCCCAGGCCTCCACCGCCTGGGCCCTGATTCCACAGTCTCAGTCCACTTCCTGGCACTCTGGAAGCAAGGCTGAGGGGACCCTGCAGGAGTTGCAGCCGGGGTCTGCCCAGTGGGCGTTGCCATGAGCCTTCCCGATGCTGGGGAGAAATCCTGTGGGTTTTTTTTTTTCTTTTTGGGTCCACCTGGAGATGCACAGGCGTTACTCCTGGCTCTGCACTCAGAAATTACTCCTGGCGGTGCTGGGGGGACCATATGGGATGCTGGGGTTCGAACCTGGGTCTGCCGTGTGCAAGGCAAACGCCCTACCCGCTGTGCTATTGCTCTAGATCAAATCCTGCACCACTGGTGTGTCTCCTGCGGGGCCCAGACACCCACCCAGCGGCTCAGAAAGGGCAGCTGAGCTGAGGGGAGAACGGGAGGGTCCCCACTGCGGCCACTTAGCCCTCGACAGCTGCTCCCCGGTTTCCTCTGAGGACGACAGTGACGTCAGCCAGCTGGCAGGACACGAGCTTCTTTTTTTATTTTTTTAATTTTTATTAGTGAAACACCATGAGATGCAGTTGTAGACTTACAAATTTTTGTGCTTGGGTTTCAGTTATATAATGATCGAGTATACCCATCCCTCCACCAGAGGACACGAGCTTCTCTCCCGGGAACCCCAGAGCGTGTGACTGGAGCAGTGAGGCTGGGGAGAGCCTCGTCTTCCTCCACGCTGTTCTTGGCATCTGGAATGGTTGGCCTGAGGACCTGGCCCTCGAGCCTGCCACGCAGGAGGCTGTGACTCAGTGGGGTCACGGTTGCCACCACGTCTATCCCTCTCCCGCAGCATGGGGCACGCACGTGGCCACAGTGTGCCAAGATCTTCCCAAGCAGGAGGGCCAGTGAGCAGCCCACAGCCCCACCCAGTCTTCACCTCCATATTATCCTCCCGCT